GGCAGCTCAGCTGGGGAAGGCACCACCAGCCAGCAGAGGACGTTAAACACAAGGCACGTTTTGTGCTTTTCAGGACACATTTTGTGTTTTTCACAGAAACATGCAGTTCTCATCTCCAAAGTGCACCTACTTTATGCTTCTACAGAAAGTGGTTTTGGAATTTCTGCAGAGTTCTCTTTCAAGCTACCTCTCCGGACCAGAGTGGATACAATACATGTCCCCCGGGCTGCTGAAATTGGGATAACTGTGGGAACGCTACAGAAACAAAGAATTATGAACATACCCACAAATGAGAAAGTGGGAAGGGACATCTGCTGTAAATACTGACCTGTACCTTCTGCAGTACCTGATCCAGAGGAAAGAACAGCCATCTTCGACTTCAGAGTCATTTTCACCCAGAAGTCCATTTACAGCCACCCTCAAAAGCAACATAAAACATCCTCTTTGGCCCCAGTGTAACAAATTAACACGATTGTATCAAAAGGCAAAAACTGTAGCAATATTTTGATTGTTCTCTCCAGTCTCACTGCTGCAGCATTTTTTGCACAATCATTATTGGTCTGTCAAGCAGAGGAGAAGCACCTGAGATCTGCCTGTACCTGGACACCAAATCTTTTAACTAAGCACTTTTTATAATGTTCCCTTACAGAACTTTGTAGAAATAAATGGGGGTTGAATCCTTGGGGCTGAAGTTACACGTCAGGCACAATTTTCCTAAAAATCTCTCTGTCAAGGACTACAAAACAAAGCTATGGCTTCTTGATCAGTCTGCTCTTCACCCAAACCTCCAAAAGACCCAGGACTGCCAAAATGAAAAACAGAGTCAATACAGAACAGCTGCTTTTAATATTTTAAGATTTACTTGGATGACTTGCAATGGTTAACTGACTTCCAATTTTACAGTGGTTTAGGTAGGACTGGGACTGGCTGGATGGTGCAGATTAAGGATTTGAGCTCTTGCTTTATGCACAGTATGCACCTCTGGCACGGACAGCAGCAAAGCAGCCCCGGTGCTGGCTGGAGCAGTTGCACCCTTCAGAAATTTAAAACAGCCACAGAGAGAACGCAATGGCTGTTTGGAGCTTTCTGCAGGAACATCTCTGCTCATCATCATTGGCCACGTTTTGCTGGGGGCTCCTTCAGCACCACAAGGACTGTCCCATAAGGAATGCTCCAGAACTGAGGTCACTGAGGTGAGATCATCTGTGGAAAGGGAGGAATTCTGATTCCAGCCCCAGAGAAGTCAGATCACACACACACACACATGCTGACTCTTCCTCGGGAAACACAGCAGGATTTTTGATGACAGACTAACAAACTCTACACAAACTGAAACACAAAATCAACAAAAAAGCCCAAAACCCCAACACATGCAGCCCCAGCAACACACTTGCACTCCATTTCTCATCACTACAGCTTGCTTGAATATCTTTTGCTTTTTGCACTGAAAGTTTGCTCTCAATTCCCTCTCATCTGCTGCACACATGGTTACCAGAGACTGTAACACAAAGTTCTGCAGTTTGGGCAGATGCTGGATTCCTGCAAAAAGGGGTTCTCAAACTCTTGCAGCAACGTGGCTGGAAGGAGAGTCTTTGACACACACATTTGCACGAGGCTGTAAGCGCTGCAGGAACAGGCTGTAAGCTGTGAACACCAATATTTCAAACCATGTGCCCTTGGAGCTGAGCTCACACGCGTTTGCTCTGAGCGTGTCTCAGATCTCAGACATGCCCAGGGGTGCAGAGAGGGCAGGCTGAGCAGAGCCCCTGGGCTGCCACACAAACCTGGCCAGGCACAGAGCCTCCAACAGCAGCTCCAGCTGGGCTCATTCCCCTCCTGGGAGCATCCACGCTCCCCGTGCACCTGTGCCACTCCTCTTTGCACAAAATTCTCAAGGAACATGTGAGTTTCTGCATTTTGTCACTCCTGGAGGAAATCTGACCCCGAACAACACCTGCACACAATGAGTACCCAAGTGAGGAAGTCATAAAGAGCCAGCTGCCCTTTATTTAAAATGCCCTTTGCAAACACTCGCCGTACATTCTTTCGAGAGAAGCAGAACCAGCAGGATCCCAGAGGCACAGAGTTCCACATCAGCTCCAGCACCACGAGGTCAGTGAATCCTGAGCACGGTTTGAGCAGAGGCACACCCGCCCTGGGCTGGGGCTGAGCACAGGGCAGGTTACAGTCACAGACACTGGCATGCCACACACGCTTCCTTCCACAGAACAGGCTCGGAGTTTTAAAAATACAATCATTATGTACAGCAAAATACGTGGTCACAAGACCAGCCTTAAACCAAGGCCTTGTTTACACAATTTCTGCGATGTCAGGAAGTATTTTGGCTGGGAATGTAATTTTTCTTCCAAAACAAGTAAATATTTGCAATTCTCACTGTGAAAAGAGTGATATACCACCTCTGTATTGACACGGGTGTAACATATTCCCACAGGGAAAAGGAATAAAGAGTACCTTTATATTGATACAACATTTCCCTCAAGTGTCGAAGCTAATATAGCTTTCATCACTCAGTCAAGTTAAAGCAGGATGATTTTTTTCAGACTTTTTATAGACAAGGCCTATGTTTAACAAGCACCAAAACACTTCAGAGTATTTGGAAGATCAGACTATTGAGCTCTACGCTGTGCACTGTCCTCACCAGTCACAGAGAACATGGAATGCCTAAATACATTCAAAACCCTGATCAGACAGTGCCACGGCCGCTTAAATGCTTCATTGTTTTACAAATACACCTTTTTGGCCAAAACCAGAATGCAGCACAGGAAGGCCCAGCACAACACAGAGCTCAGCTGGCTGTCCCCAGCTGCTCTGCCAGGCTGAGCAAAGCCAGACTTTGCGTGCTAAAACACCCACTTTTGCTTTATTCCTCAAGCACAGCTCAGGCAGTGGGGAAAGAGGCACTGGGGAACGTGAGGGGTCTGCTGGCTCCTGGGAGGGCACAATAAATACCTGCTTTTATCAACCACCTCAAGCTGCTGACAGTGCACTGATCGAGGCCTGGTGGGTGCTAAAAACTCTACATTCCCATTGAATTTAAGGCAAAATTGAACCATGGCACTAACTGAGATGTAAATTGATTTTTTTAACATCAGACACGCAGTTTGTAAGCTGCAGAAGTGGCAGCAGTCAAGCTTCCTCAGCTTTCAATGCAGTTCTTGGGTTAAGACACCCCTTCTGTCAGTGTCATTCCCTGTCTCCCAGCACGGGATCCTCTGCCTTCTAATGAACTTCTAGGAATTCCTGGAAGATGAGCTGCAATGAGGTGTTCAAGTTTCACTTAGAAACAGGGGCGAATTGCTGTGTTTATCTCAGGGCCCCAGCACTGGGGCTGCCTCCTCCAGCCCTCTGTTCCTCACTGAGGCTGAGACAGCCCCAGACAAGGACACACCTGGGCTCTGAGGCAGAAGCACGCTTTCACCAGATAATATGTTACAAATTTTCGGTAGGTGCTTGATGTTATTACCAAAAGTACCCAATTGTGACTAGAGCACAAATGGCACTTTTCATTTCAGTCAGTGGGATTTCAAAACGTAGCATCAAACTGACCCTGCACACTGCCCTGCCAGTGCTAGGGCACACAGTTTTCCTGCTCAAACCAGGAGAAATCACCAGAACCACAGAGGAATCACGGCAGTCACTTTTCAGCTGGCCTGATTAAAAACCCCTTCACACATCATTGCTCAGCTTCTGTTTTTGAGATCCAAGATCTTTTCAAGACTTCTTGGGACAGGGGGGAGACGGAAAAAGAGAGCTGCAGGTTTTGTGTGCAGACCTCTAAAGAAGGGGCAAAGAGAGAACAGGTAAAAAGCCCCTTGGACCTTCCAGCTGATGGGAGGCACAGGTCTCCTCCCACCCCAGCCCCTCTGCAAACCAGAAAAGAAAAAGGTCTGGTTTATAATTTTAAAGTGATAATGCAATGAGACTAAAAGTTTGGATTTCATAAATAATTGACCTTTAGAACTTCACCCAATAAACCAGGCTGCCTCCAGGAGGGGAAAAGGGCCTGTGGCAGTAAGTCCTCACTGCCTCCTTACAGCTGCCTGTGAGCACAGCCTTCTTCCCACAGCCTGGCACACTGGGCCAGGACTGAATACAAGCAAAAACCCGCATCAAAAATGACTAAATATTAGGTAAAGCAGCAATCTTGTGGTTTGCCTTTTTTCACCACTGTTCTTAGCTAAATCGACCCCTCCACCTTCCACTGCCACTGAGATATAAATCTGGATTAAGAGCCTGTGTGAAAGTCAGTGTTTCATGTGATACATAACAATGCACAGAGTTGTTTTCTAAAAAACAGCATTTGTATTAAAATTCTTCAAATGGATAGACATCTCTTCAATGCATGTCTGCAATTAAAATGACAGTTGTTAGAATTTTCTTGGTACATCACAACGATAAGGTTTCCTTCTTTGCTGGCTGGAGGCACGACAAAATCAAAGGAAAACAGAACCAAAAAAATAAAAAAAAAAGCCCCCCACCCAAAAATCCCAAAAGGCTAAATTCTTGTAAATTTGAAGTAAATTAGGCCCAAACTTGCAAGACATGGAAATAACAGTTAAAAGGCTCAGATGGAAATAAGAAATAAATTCCACTAACAATAGGCCCTTTTGTCCTGGCTTGCTCCGTGTGATTACTGCAAGGAAGCTGTTAAGTAGTTTTTGGAGTAGTAGATAATGGGATTCTGTGGAGCTTTCACAGGTTGGCACCGGCTGGAACAGCTGAGTTTTGAAGGCACTCTACAGACACAGGGCTGCTGTTGGCCCTGCATCACTCAGGGGAAGTCTTTGCACTTGAGAGAGCTAGTCATCAAAATCAGGTATTGCCAACCCAAATCCAAAACCCTCGGCAAAAAAAGCACCACCGCCCTCCCCCCCGCCAAAGGAAAAACCAAAACCACAACGAAATCACACACACACGCACACCTAAAAAATTGTGCAGATTTGTAACATTTTCACAGCTGATTAAAAAAAAAATCCCGGGTGCGGCCGGGCTGCGGCCCCGCTCCCCGCGGCTGTCCCGGGACAGCGGGCTCCCCGCGTGGCTCCGCTCCCCGGGCGGCGGGACCGGCTGCTCCCGCGCCCGCCGCCGACACTGACAGGAAATATGCCATGACCAAGACTGGACGAAACGTACATGCCGAGAAAAGCCACATTTCCAACACGACGCAATTGTTTTCCGCGCTGCTGTCCGCCCGAGCGCGCCCGCCGGGCCGGGGCCGGGCCGCCCTCAGAGGATGGCGCAGGAGGCGCAGCACGGCTCGTCCCCGTTGGGCTGCGCCGCGTAGTTCATCTGCCTGACGATCTCGGCGAACAGCTCGTCCACGGAGGCTTTGTTTTTGGCCGAGGTCTCCATGAAGGGGCAGCTCCACTCCTCGGCCAGCGCTTTGCCCTCCCCGAAGGAGACCTCGCGCTCGCCCTCCAGGTCCACCTTGTTGCCCACCAGGATCATGGGCACCCGCTCGTACCTCTTGACGCGGATGATCTGGTCCCGCATGGGCTTGATGTCCTGGAAGCTCTGCTGGTTCACCAGGCTGTAGACCAGGATGAAGCCCTGCCCGTTCTTGATGTAGAGGTCCCGCATGGAGGCGACCTGCTCGGTGCCCGCCGTGTCCAGGATCTCAAGCACGGACGGGGACGAGTCCACCTCGATCTCCTTGCGGTAGAAGTCCTCGATGGTGGGGTCATACTTCTCGATGAAGGAGCCGGTCACGAACTGCACGGTAAGGGCGGACTTGCCCACGCCGCCCGAGCCCAGCACCACCCCCTTGTACTCCCGCATGGCTCCCGCCTCCCTCCGCCGCCTCCCGCTCGGGGCTGCCGCGGCGGGCGGGGACGGGGCGGAGGGAGGGAGGGCACGGGGGCGGCCCCGCGCCGGGGCGGGGAAGCGGCGGCCGCGCCTTGCGGAGCGGCGCCGGGAGAGCCCCGGCGCCGGGCAGCGCCGAGGAGGAGGATCGGGAATGGGATCTGGATCGGGATCGGGAACGGGATCGAGATAGGGATCGGGAACGAGATCGGGATCGGGAATGGGAACGAGAACGGGATCGGGAATGGGAACGGGATCGGGATCGGGATCGGAACGGGAACGGGAACGGGAACGAGATCGGGATCGCCGCGCGTCCCCTCCCGCACGTGGCCCTCCCCGGGGCGGCGGGCGGCCCGGCGGGGGCTGCGGCACTGCCAGGGGCTGATGCTGCTTCCCTTGGTGGCCGAGAGCGGCAGCGTGGCAGGGCTGAGTCACAGGGGCTGGCTGCGTGCCACTCCGTAGAAGTCGTGCCTTGGACTTTCTATTGGACATTCCTTTCAAGAAAGTATCCTTGGTTGTTTTGGCACCCTCCGGTCCTTGCTGTTGCACCTTACTCAGTTCTTCACAATTCTCGGTATTTATTCACATGATGGTGACGTTTAGATCCTTGCTACCACACCTTGTTTCCAAGCCTAATCTAAACACAGCGCTTGGGTAGGCAAAGTCTAAGGATTTGAAAATAATAAGTTTTGTAAATAATGTTCTCTTATTCCTGAACAATTTTCACAGAGGCTAAACTCTACTGCAATTATTTTTGCAGCATTCAGGTGCTGTAGGATCACCCCCATGCTCGCTGATCCTCTGGTGAGTGGTGCACCCCTGGTGATCCCCTGGAGCTCAGAGTGAGCCCCTGTGCTGCTGCTGCTGTGTGAGTCTGCAGTAAAACCTCTGCCGAGGAACAGGAACGTGTTCCAGCAGCCTGCAGTGCAATGGGCAGTGGTTGGAAGGGCTTTGTTGAGTGTGAGTGAAGCCCGCAGGGGCGGTGTGTGGTCTGCGGGTGCAGCCGTGGCAGCTGGCTGTCCCCAGTGGGGTGCTGCTCACCAGGCCCACCTGGTTTCTGCCAGGTGCACATTCCTCTCACGCACCTCCACAGCCTGCGGGCTGCTCCTGAGCTGCTGTGCAGGTCAGCCTGGGCGTGCAGCAGGCATTTCACCTCCCAGCACAGCCCCGGGCTGGCCTTTGGTCCCCTCTGTGTTCTAGACTCGGCCCAGGTAACCCTTGGTGCTCCCCAGAGCGGTGCTGCAGCTCCTGGAAACTCTGGGGAGGATCTCTGAGTGCTTCCAGCCTCTTGTCCTGGGAGCTGTCAGCCCATGGCTGCTTAGCCCATCCTTTGGAAACTGGATAACTGAGCTCCCCTGGAAGCTTTTAAGCCATTTCTCCACTTGTTCTTGCTGCTGCTTTCAGTGTCCATCTGATTCCCCCTCCTGGAAGTACTCTGGGAGCAGAGCTAGCACATCACCCAGCTTGCTGTGAGCCAGCCAACATCAGCCACGGGCTGGCAAATTCTCTTCAAAACCAGCTGTAAGAGTTGCTGAAATGCCCCAGTGTCACTGCAGAAATATTTTATTTCCTTGATCTGTGCTCAGGTTTTGGGTATGATGTGGGCTTGCTCGTCTTCATCACTTCTGTAGCAAACCCACATCTGAATTATTCACATTACACTTACTCCCAACATGCCAGTAGCCAATTTTATAAAGGCCAGACTGTAATGTTGGTTTTAATCCTATCTATTTAATCCCAACTCACTGCTGGCCTGAGGTATGTGTTGTTTTTTTCAGTGACAGAATAAAATTGCTCTCCATTTTGAAATGCTACACTATGCTATTAATTGCTGCTGTTCCTGAAAAAGGAAATGTATCACGTTCAAAGTAACAAACAATCTTTATGCTGTTGAGTTTAAATATGGAATGTGATCTCTCAAGTGCCAGTGCCCTACTACATGTATTAATTTAATCTCTCCTATTACCAGCCAGCTCTAGGTAATTAGTTAGTCTGCAGTGCAAGGAGTCTGTGGGAAGTAACTGAAAGAATCAAATTGGTTTTCTTGGAAATGAATTCTGGTGCATGGCTACAGACCACTGAGGGATCTGTGGGCTGGAAAGTTTGAAAATCCCTGGCTGAGGGTTTAGGCACAGAAGTTAAATAAATCATGAGAGGATGCAACACATAATATTTGAATTATGAAGTGTTGCATTGCATTGGCTGGTTGTGCTTCATGAATGGTAGTGGTTTAGATTTTCAGGAAAAATATTAATGTATTAATGTTTTCCTGAAACAAGGTTTGGTTGGGCAACATGAAGGGATCACAATGCAGCAGGGTCTAGGCAAAATGTAATCATCAGAGTTAGCTGATTAATTTGATTTTCAAAATGATCAAGCATATTTTAAAAACAATTTCAGGATGATTTGGTGCTATCTTAAAAATGCCAAAATAAAAATCAGCTGAAAAGCATAAATTTGGTTACTAAGCAGTTCACCATACAATATTTGCATGTATTTGCAGCTTTCACTGTGCTGAATAACCCTGCTTGCTCAGTGAAACTGCTCGTGCAGGCTGGGGTTATTTCTGTGCAGTTAGAGAGCGAGCTGTGAGCTGCTGCTCTGGAGATCTTTTGTGCAAGTGAAGCACTCAGTGGCTTTGGTGGGTTTTTTAATCTGTTGTGCTTGGTAGGCAAAGATTAGACAAGGGTAGTTTAGATCAGTAGCAAGTGCAATATCTAGTTTGAGTGCCCTGAAAGTTTGTCAGTGCCTGGTGACAAGAAGATTTAATGCCACAAAAGGAGGTAAAATCTTCCTGGTGTTCCTGAAGGGACCTTCTAAGCAGCTCCTCTTCAGAGCTGCACAGCCACCCTCAGAGCTGTGGGGTCAGTGTCTGCAAAGGGATGTGTCACCTGGACCTGAGTCCCACTGAGCTTGTTTAGAGAGAGGTTTTACAGCAGGACTTGCTCTCCCTGGGGAGCAAGCCTGCTGTGAGGAGTGGGCTGAGATTTGAGGTGTGTGTGTTCCTGCACAGGTTCGCTGCTGGATCTCAGGGGGCCTGGACTCTGGGTGAAACTGAGCCAGAGTTCAGATACAGAGATGGGCTCTGGGTAAAACAGACTCAGAACGTGCCCAGAGTTGGGTGGGAGAGTGTGCCTGTCTGAAAGCTGCAGCTCCCGGGCAGAAAGAGCTGCTTGCCTTCAGTCAGAGCTTCTCTGCCCCGGTCAGTGGTACACACTGAAATAAAGTTTGTTAATACGTGGGAAGTTCCTGTGACTGTGAAAGAGACTTCTGAGATCATAGTGCTCTGCCAGGTACCAGCTAGGCAGGGTGATAATTGAATTTTAAAGCTACAAATCATACTAAATGTTGTATTTTAATTTCTCAGCACTGCTGCTGAGAAAATCCCGAGGGAAGTCACGGGCTGAGGATACTGCACATCATTTCATTCCTAAGATGGCAATGTTCCCTGGATATAGCAGACATACCTTACCGCTCAAGATTAAGTGACTTAGCTGGCTCACAGCCCAATATAAAACAGTTAAACTGAGAAGATTCAATCATTTGGGGAAGAGTTGCTGTTCTGTCACTCCCATGCTGTCAGTATGTGACATTAATATTAATGGTAAACCTAAAGGTAAAGCGAGAATAATTACCAAGGGAGACTAAGAAGATGAAATAATCTCAGAGTTCAAAGAACAGGATTGCACCAAATGTTTTCTGGCATTGAACAAATCTGGAGAAATTTTTCAATGTTTACTCATTTTGGATTTATGAAATTGAGCAACATTTTGGGCCTGAATTAGTTTTTAGTGCAGTGGTGTACAGAGAACGCTTCATTTTGGATTTGGCAGCAGGATGATTTAGGTTGCTTTGGAGGGGTTGAGGAAGGAAAAGATGACAAAAATAACCTGGCATCCAACAGCATTTAAATCTGATACTTAACTTATCTGCACCTTGAGAAACTCTCAATAATCCGGTATGTGAATCCATATCTGCAACAAGACTGCCTGACGTGTGTTTCTCTCAGCCCGGTGGCATTGCCGTTCTCATTCCAGGATCAGGTGTGCCCTGAGCAGCCAGCAGCCAGGGTGACTCCAGGGGCAGGTTTCAGTGAGTGAAATGCTGGGTGGCAGAGCCCGGGGGCAGCGGCTGCGGGGGACCCAGGCAGGGCTTGGCACTGGGCTGAGCTGGCCGTGCCTGGCTCAGCCCTGCAGCACGGCCCTCCTGAGCAGCACTGGCTGTGCAGGCACCCTGTCCTGCCCGCCTCGGGGAGGAGAGCCCCTGGGGACTTCCCTCTGCCAAAAGATCCTCAAATGCAAAATACCAAACCTGCGCTTCTTCAAGAAATAATCACAGCTGCTCGTGGGTGTAAATAAAGTATTTAAAAAAACAAAACACCACACAACAAAAAAAAAGAAAAAGTGACACACATACACTGAAAAAAGCGATCATTATTTCCATCAAAAGTCCTGCCAGAGATCTTATCACTATTGCTAAAGTAGCCTGTGCTGCCAGAACTTATCAGATGTTTCCCTTGAATTGGTGTCATAATACCACTTTATGGTCCTTTATAAAGAACATGCTCCATGGCATGCTTATATCCCACTCCTAGACATTATATTTATATTGAAAATACGCACAATTGTCAAAGTTCAGGTCTCTTCCTCTGTTCGTTATTTGTTGTCAACTATTTACCCCAGGAGCATTTACCTGAGAGGTTTTGGGCTTTGGGTGAGCACACAGAACAGGGAGAGCAGTTCTGTGTTCCTGTGTGCAGCTCTCAGGTTCTGTGTAGGTGTGGTGAAACAACTTTTGGAACCATAAATGTGATCTTGATAGCACTTGCATGGAAACAGTGCTATTGTATGGTAATGAAACTGCTGTAATCAGCCTGGAGTGAAACTGGTGACTAATTCAAAAAGCAAACTTCCTGTCTGCAGCAAAAGCCCTTCTGGAGAAAAATGCCTTTCCTTCAGTGCCCCGTGGCACTGTGTCACATTGCAGCCTTCACTGCTGCTGGCAGTGCTCAGGTACAGCAGATGATTATCGTTTGGGGTTTCACTCTTGAGTTTGTTTAATTCCTCAGTCTCCTGGGCAGGAGCAGAGTCTCACTGACAGTCTTCTGTCAGGGCAGGGGGA